CCTCTATTGTGTCATATAACACCCAAGTACAGTTCAATCCCCAACATTGAACTCCATTCCACGACAGTCTCTTGCATTCCTTTCCTTAAATGCAGTCTCCGTTTCCTTCCAAATCACTCATCTGCCCTCTATTGCATCACATACGCCCCTTTCACACTCCATTCCACAATATTCCCTCTGTTACTCCACATTCTGTTGCTTTCCTTTCATTCAAAGAAGTCTGCATCTCCTCAAAATCACTCCAGTGCTCTCTATTGCGTCACATTCCACTCCAATCCACACCATTCTGAAGCATTCCCCTCCATTCCCCAAGGTTGCACGTCATTCTAGTCATTTCTTCTCCCTCAAGAACGCCTCCATTTCTTTCCAAACCACTCAGATACCCTCTCTTTGACACTCTACACCCCACTCAACTGCACTGCTCAACACCCCACTCCATTCCATCACGCTTTATTGCATTCTGGTCCGTCAAAAGTTATTCATTCCCTTCCACTTCACTCAGGAACCCTCCATTGCGTCACATGACACTCCTTTCCACATCATTCCTCTCCATTCCACAACATTCAATCACATTCTGTTTATTTCCATACCGCCAAGGAAATCTCCATTAACTTCCATACCACTCAGGTACCCTCTATTGCGTTAGATTTCAGTCGATTCCACTCCATTCAACAACATTCCACTGCACTCCACAGCATTCAACAACTTTCAGTTGCGTTTCATTCCTCATGGACGCTTGCATTTCCTTCAAAGCCACACAGGTACCCTATACTGCATCACATTACACCCTATTCTACTCCAGTCCACAAGATTCCACTCCATTAAGCCACATTCCACTAAGTTCTAATGCACTCCGTTCCATTTAAGAAGGCTCCATACCTTACCAAACCACTCAGATACCCTTTACTGCATTATATTACTTCTCATTCCACTCCAATCCACAAGATTCCACCTCATTCCACAACATTAAACTATGTTCTGTTGCATTCCATTGCATCAAAGCAGGCTCCATTTACCTCCAACCCACTAAGCCACTATATATTGTGTCACATTACACCCAATTCCACGGCAATCCTCAAGATTTCTCATCATTCCACAACATTCTCCACATTCTATTGACTTCCATTCCATCAAAGAAGGTTCCGTCCACTCGAAACCACTCACATACCTCAGATTGCATCATATTGCTCCCAATTGCACTTCAATAGACAAGAATCCACACCAATCTACAACATTCAACCATATTCTTTTGCATACCATTCCATAAAAAATGCTCCTAAATAACCAATGGATCAATAATCAAATAAAAACAGGGATCAAGCAATATATTGAGACAAATGACAACGATAATTCAACACCACAAAATCTGTGGGATGCAGCCAAATTCATGCTAAGAGGAAAGTATACTGCAATACAGGCCCAGCTCAGGAAATAAGAACAGTCTAAATTCACAATTAATGAAACTAGAGAAAGAAGACAAAATGAGACCCAAACTCAGTAGAAGGAGGGACATAATATAGATTAGAGCAGAAATAAATAAAATAGAGAAGAATAAAAAAATAGAAATAATCAATGAAAGCAGGAGCTGGTTCTTTGTGAAAACAAACAAAATAGATAAATAGATAAACCCCTAGTCAGACTTATTAAGAAAAAAGAGAATCTACACACATAAACAGAATCAGAACTGAGAAAGGAAAAATCACTGTGGACACCACAGAAATACAAAGAATTATGAGAGTATACTATGAAAAATTATATGCTAACAAACTGGATAACTTAGAAGAAATGGACACCTTTCTAGAAAAATCAACCTACCAAGGATGACCAAGAAAAAAACAGAAAATCAGAACAGACCAATTACCAGCAACGAAATTGAACTGGTAAACAAAAAACTACCTAAGAACAAAACTCCTGGAAGAGATAGTTTCACCACTGAATTTTACAAAACATTTAGTGAAAACCTAAAGCCCATCCTCCTTAAAGTTTTCCAAAGAGTAGAAGAAGAGGGAATACTTCCAAACTTATTATGTGAGGCCATCACTGTAATACCCAAACAAGGCAAGACACCATAAAGAAAGATAATTACAGACCAATACCCTGATGAACATAGATGCAAAAATACTCAACAAAATATTAGCAAACTGAATTCAAAATTATATCAAAAAGATCATCCATCATGATCACGTAAGATTTATTCCAGGTATGTAAGGATGGTACAATATTCGAAAATCCATCAACAACATCCACCACATCAACAAAAGAAGGACAAAAGCCACGTGACCATTTCCATATATTCTGAAAAAGCATTTGACAAAATTCAACACCCGTTCATGATAAAAACTCTCAATAAAATGAGTATAGAGGGCAAGTAGCTCAACATAATAAAGGCCATATATGACAAACCCACAGCCAACATCAGACTTAACAGTGAGAAGCTGAAAGCTTTTCCTTTAAGATCGGGAACAAGACAAGGATGCCCACTCTCCCCACTTTTATACAAGATAGTACTGGAAGTCCTAGCCATGGCAATCAGACAACACAAAGAAATAAAAGGTATCCAGATTGGCAAGAAGAAGTAAAACTGTCCCTGTTTGCAGATGACATGAGATTGTACATAAAAAAACTCTAAAGAATCCACTCCAAAACTACTAGATCTAATATCTGAATTCAGCAAAGTTGCAGGATACAAAATTAATACACAGAAATCTGTGGCATTCCTACACACTAACAACAAACAAGCAGAGAGAGGAATCAGGAATAGAATTCTATTCACAGTTGCATCTAAAAGAATAAAAAAGACCTAGGAATAAACCTAACCAAGGAAGTGAAAGACCTATGCCCTCAAAACTACAAGGCACTCATGAGAGAAATTAAAGAAGATACCAATAAATGGAAACTCATCCCATGCTTATGACTAGGAACAATTAATATTGTCAAAATGGCCAGCCGGCCTAAATCAATCTATAGATATAATGCAATTCCTATCAAAATACCAACAGCACTCTTCAACAAAGTAGAGAAAATCATTCTAAAATTCATATGGAACCAGAGAAGACCTCGAATAGCCAAAGAAATTCTGAGAAGGAAGAATAAAGCCAGGGGCATTACACTCCCTGAGTTCAAGCTGTACTACAAAGACACAGTAGTCAAGACAATTTGGTACTGGCACAAGAATAGACCCATAGACCAATGGAACAGACTAGAGATCCCTGATATAAACCCAACCATGTATGGTCAATTAATATATGATAAAGGAACCATGGATATACAATGGGAAAATAGCCTCTTCAACAGCTGGTGTTGGCAAAACTGGAGAGCTACATACAACAGAATGAAACTTGATTATTGTTTAATCCCATGCACAAAAGTAAACTCAAAAGGGATTAAAGACTTTAATGTAAGTCATGAAACCATAAAACACTTAGAAGACAACATAGGCAAATATCTCCTGAATATAAGCATGAGCAACTTCTTCCTGAAAGCATCTCCTCGAGCAAGGGAAACAAAAGCAAAAATGAACACATGAGACTACATCAAACTAAAAAGTTTCTGTACAGCAAAGGACACCATCAACAGAAAAAAAGGCATCCTATTGTGTTGGAGAATATATTTGTAAATAACATATCTGACAAGAGTTTCACATCCAAAATATTTAAATAACTTACATGCCTCAACACCCAAAAAACAAATAAACCAATTAACAAATGGGCAGGGGATATGAAGAGACAGGTCTCCGAAGAATAATTTCAGATGGTCAACAGACACATGAAAATATGCTCCACATCACTAATCATCAGGGAAATGCAAATTAAATCCACAATGAGACATCACCTCACACCAGTAAGAATGGCCAACATAAAAAATACAAGAATAACCAATGCTGGTGAGGACATGGATAAAGGGGAACCCTCCTACCCTGCTGGTGGGAATGTAAGGTAGTTCAACCATTGTGGAAAGCAATATGGAGTTTCCTCAAAAAACTAAAAATAGAAATACCATTTGACCTGGGAATCCAACTCCTCGGAATTTACCCAAGGAATACAAGTTCTCAGATTCAAAAAGACATATGCACCCCTAAGATTATTCTGGCACTATTTATAATAGCCAAGATATGGAAGCAACCTAAGTGTCCATCAGTAGATGAGTGGATAAAGAAGATGTGGTACATACACATAATGGAATACTATTGGGCCATAAGAAAGAAACAAATCCTACCATTTGCAACAACATGTATGGAGATGGAGAACATTATGCTCAGTAAAATAAGCCAGGAAGAGAAAGACAAATGCCAAACGATTTCCCTCATTTGTGGAGTATAACAATGAAGCAAAACTGAAGGAACAAAATAGCAGCAGACTCAGACACTCCAAGAACGAACTAGTGGTTATCAAAGGGGAGGTGAGTGGGTGGGCAGGTGAGGAGGGAGAGAGAAGGGTATTGAGGGGTATTATGTTTAGTAAACATTGTGTGGTGAATCACGGGAAGAACAGTGTAGCACAGAGAAGGTACATAGTGCATCTGTGGCATCTTACTGCACTGATGGACAGTGACTGTATTGGAGTATGGGTGGGGACTTTATAATATGGGTAAATGTAACCACATTATTTTTCATGTGAAACACTCATAAGAGTGTATATCTATCATACCTTAGTAAAAAAAAAAACAACATATGAAAATAAATTTAATTGAAGTTTGAAAGTAGCCATCTCAGTAATTTGAAAAGACACTTTATAAATGACCATTTTAAATTTGAACAGGTAATCAGCTTCATTATAATTTCTAAGATGTTTTCCAATGCTTAATTTTGGCACTAAGTTTTAGTATAATGACATTGTCAGGTCTTACAAGTAAAATGCTATATTGAAAGGAATAAACAACTAGGCTAAAAAATATTGAAGCTCCAATGAACACCAAATAAACTAGTGACACCTAAGAGCAGAAAGTACTTTTAAGTTTCCCAACAATAATCTGCACCAAAAGGCATACTTGAACATGCATACCTCAAGTTATTGCTTGGTGCTTCTTTTTCTGGAAGATCTATGTGCTTGGAGCCTGTTGACTGGTGCTCTTCAGCAAAGCTGGGCTCATGACTTATCATGTGGATCTCTGCAGTAAGAACTCCCCTTCATTGGAGAATCCAAAGAGATCTGGATCATTGAGAATTACATCAATTAAGAGGACATAATCTTCATATGATTTAAGAATATCTGGAAACCCCACTTTAAATTCTGAGATCTTAGTCACTTCTCTGCCACGAATTTCAAAAGAAACTTGTCTGAATGTTTCTTATTCATTAGAGAATGCAGGAACAGAAAAAAACAGGTAACACACAACCCACACAGAAACACTGAAACACAGAAACAAAATGACACACAGCACACACAACACACACAAAAACATACATCACAACAGATCATACAAAGAATGCTACACACACCACAGACAATACAACACACACAGCCACACACAACACACATGGAAAGCACCAACACAACACGTACACACATGTAAAACACCCAAAGCACAAAAACCAGAGTATATACACAATCTCTCAACACACAAGTAGCACATCACCCTAAACAACACAACCCACACACATCAAGCACATCACCACACACAATACACATGAACCACACACAGTTCACAGAATACACACACAACCACACACAAATCACAATCACCAATGCAAAACATACACAACAGATACAAAAGCACACACAACTGACAAAAACACACACAATACACATATAACACACTGCACACAGCACACAAAAACACAAACATACAGTATAGAGCACACACAGACCCACACTCAGACAGCATGACACAAAGCACACAACACACACACAATCAACACACAAACAAAACATATCAGACACAACACAATTAACATCACACACAACGTTGAAAATATACAGACCACCCAACACCTACCCCAGAAGTAACACACAGAAAAGCATATACACAGCACTTACACAACCCATAACACAGTACATAACACAACACACAACAGAAAGTCCAGAAACATTTCACACAAAATATGACAGAGGAAGCCACACACCACACAACATATACAACCACCAATAGAAAACTCATCAGAAAAGGCAACATATACAACACACAAAGAACCACTCAATGCACACAGAACACAACTAACAACCATACATATCACACATAACATGCCACAGAGGAAAACACATAGAATAACATACTCAACAAGTAGTAAGGAACCCATACCATACACATTACATACACAACACAGACAACACACAACACACAGAAAAAAACAAGATCCACAGATCACAGGCAACACAACACAAACACACAAGAATACACAGCACACACAGCATAGCACAATAGAGAATACACAGAGAATCACAATACAAAAACCAGAAGTCACTCACTACCATATACCAACAACACAAATAGCACACTACACAAGCACAACCACACACAGACAACACGTCTAACATCACACATATAACTCAATCACACATACAACCTCTCAAACACAGCCAAACACATATCACAATCACACATGCAAAACAGGCACACCGCATACAAAACCACATGCAAAATACACAACCAACAAAAACCCAGAAAGCACACATTTCACACACTACACAATATACAAAGAGTCACTCACAGTCACCCCACACACATACCCACACATAGGCTGCACTATGCAAAGTGAACACACACAGTTTCAAAATGTAACAATGCAAGTCACAAGACACACACCAGATGCATCAAAGCACATAAATGCTCACAACACACGCAAACAACATTTCACACAGTACACACAGCACACACAATGAGGCACACTACACAAGCAAAACCACATACAGATAACACATCTCACCTCACACACATAACCAATTAGACACACAACCTCTCAAACACAGCCAAACACCTATCACAATAACACATGCAAAACACACACAACACATACAAATCCACACACAACCAACAAAAATACACACAACACACGTATAACGCACAACACCCAACACACACAACCACAAGCATGCAATAAACAGCCCACAGAGACCCACACACAGACAGCAGGAACCAAAACACACATACACACGCACAAATCATATAATCAGAACGCATCAGACACAATCCAAAATTAAAATCACATAGAATGCTCAAAATGCACAGTCCACCATCTACCCTGTACATAACAGACAGAAAGCATATAAACAGCACTTACACAACCCAGAGCACAGTACATAGCACAACAGACGACAGAAAGACCAGAGACATTACACATGAAACACGACACCGGAAGCCACACAACAAACACACAACATATACAACAACCAATGGATAACTCATAAAAAATAACAAAATATATAACACATAAAGAACCACTCAATGCACACAACACACGACTCACAACCACACATATCACACATAACATGCCATACAGAGAAAAATACACAGAACAGTGTACACACAAGCAGTAAAGAACCCACACCACACATAGTACATACACAACACACACAACACGGACAACACACAACACTCAGAAAATAAACAAGACCCACAGATCACAGACAACACAACCCAAAACACACAAGAACACACAGCACACACAGCATAGCAAAACAGAATACACACAGAATCACAAAACAAACACCACAAATCATTCACTACCATATACCAACAACAAAAACAGCACACTACACAAACAACAAAACCAAAAAGCACAACACAGATCAAACACACACAATACACAGTAAAAAAACATAACACACAACCCACACAGCAAGACATAAAACAAAGAAACAAAATGACACACAGCACACACAACACAACGCACACAGAAGGGTACATCACAACTGTTAACCAACACACACTACATAAAACACAAACAATACAACACACATAAAATGACACACACAGGACATACAACACACACAGCCACACACAACACCAGGAAAGCACCAAGAAAACACATACAACACACATGCAAAACAACCACAACACGCAAAACCAGTTTACATACAACCTCTCAACACACAAACAGTACATCACACTAAACAACTAAACCCCACACGCACCAAGCACATAACTGTGCACAATACACATGAACCATGGTTCTTAGAGTAAACACAATACACACAGTGAGGCACACTGACCAAGCATAACTACACACTGTTCACACATCACAAGGTACACTCATTACTCAGCCAACCATGCACACAACCTGTGACACACAACCACACACAAATCACAATCACACATGCAAAATGCAACCACAGATACAACACGTACAAACCCATATGCAAAACACACACAAACCACAACAAAAAGAACACCAAATTTATGCAACACACATTTCACACACTGCACACATCAGTCCAAGCATACATAAAACAGAGCACACAGAGTCTCACAGAATGCACAATGCCAAATACACAACACATATACAAAGCATATTAGTCATAACACACAATATCTCACACAACTTGAAAAACACACAGACCACACAACACATACACAATACGTAATGCACAGGGAAGAATACACACAACACAAACACTGATAACACAACAACACATCACACAACACACACAAGCATCATACACAGAATTTAACATCACAACTCATAACACAGAAAACACCCTGCATTAACAATGCAAGACACACAGAACAATGCAACCACTGCATACCAGACATAAAGCCACACAGAAAATACACTCAAAGAACAACCACAACACACACAAGAAAATACCCACAAACACATACATAGAGAACACACAGAACCTCTCAACACGCACACAGCACAACAAAGAAAACAACATACACCACAAACATAACAGGACATAAATCACGCAATTCACACAAACCACAGTTTGAGTGCACACAACACACACAGTGAGGCACACTACAAAAGCACAACCACACAGAGACAACACATATCACATCACAGACATAACTCAACCAAACACACACACAACCTCTCAAACACAGCCAAACGCAAATCACAATCACACAGATGCAAAACAGGCACACCACATACAAAACCATTCACAGACCATATAACATTTCCAAACATGAACACAACACACTACACAAATGATGCCAAATGTACAACACACAAAGACACACTCCAAGCACCCAACACCCTACACAGAACCACCCACAACAATAGTCATACAGCACTCCACAAAACCATTCACAGACCATATAACATTTCCAAACATGAACACAACACACTACACAAATGATGCCAAATGTACAACACACAAAGGCACACTCCAAGCACACAACACTCAACACAGAACCACCCACAACAACAGTCACACAGCAATCCACAAAGAAACACACACAGAACACTCACTACAAAAAACAAAGTACCTAAACTGCACACATCACGTACACAAGTCACAACACTGAAAGAACACAACACACCAGAAACACTCACACACTACATAAACACTGCCATGCACATTACACCAGCGGATCACAGACTTCACAGCAAAAAGCACACAATAGCATAGCACGCAAAACGTAGCACAACACAGAATACGCACAGAATCACACAACAAGCACCACAAAACACACCCTAACATATACACAAAAGACAAACAACGCACTTCACACATAACACAAAACCAAGCACACCCAAACACATCACAAAAAGACGCACAACAGAAACATCGCACACACAACACACACATTAGAAGAAACACATCAATACATTACCACAACACACAAAATAATACAGATCACAGAAAAATACATCACTCAACACAGAGAAGCATCACACACAAATTAAACATCACAACTCATAGCACACATGACACCCTCCATTAACAACACACAGACCGACGCGACCACTACATACCACACATAAAGCCACACACAACACACACTCAAGGAATAACCACAACAAACACAAGTAAACACCCACAAACACAAAGATATGGAGAACACACACAAACTCAACACGCAAACAGCACAACATCTGAAACAACATACACCACCAACACCACTGGACATGTAGGCACCCAATTCTCACAAACCACATTTAACCGTGCACACACCCCACACTCAATGAGGCACCCCACACAAGCAAAGCCACATACAGACAACACATCTCACCTCACACACATACCATCACACACACAACCTC